ACAGACAGAGAAAAGAGAGCCACAAACAGACAGACAGACAGAAAAGAGAGACACAGACAGACAGACAGACAGAAAGAGCATTGGAGAGTGTGACACTGCTTTTCCATCTCAGCTGCTCCTCAGTCCTCGAAAATCCTAACTTTGGTGAGCAAAGTGATGAAGTCGAGTTACACTGATTTGTGGACTTGGTAAATAAGTTGGATGTTTCAGTGTCCTCGCGTGCTTCAGTTTTGTTCAGAGGAAACTGAATTCGTGCTTTTAAAGGGATTCTCGCGATGCTGCAAGTGTAAGATATAGGCTATGATATATGTTATCATTGTTCTTACTATCCTTTTCATTATCCTCATTACTATCATCACTATTATCATTATTATCATCTTTGCGATTATAATTATCATTATTGTCATTATTGCTATTATCACTATCTTTATCGTTCTCGTCGTCTTTTTTATTTCATTATTATTTTCAATGTCATGATTATCACCACTAACCTAATTAATAATAATATTGACAAATGATGATAATGATTGTGAATCATAGATAATAATAATAATGATATAATAATATGAATAATAATAATGATGACGATATTCATTATAAACAATAACAATAAGATAATAAGGATAACATCATTATCGTCATTATCATTTTCATTACTAATATTATCATTATTCGAAATGGTCCATTTACTTCTGCTTTTGAACCCCACCCCCAACCACCATCCGCACCCACCCACCATCCCACCCCCATCGCCCCAACATGTATAAACAGTATAATACATTTGTATATATATATATATATATATATATATATATATATATATATATGTGTGTGTGTGTGTGTGTGTGTGTGTGTGTCGTGTGTGTGGTGTGTGTGTGTGTGTGTGTATGTATATATATAATTATTAAAAAAAAAAAAATATAATAATATATATATATATACTTATATAATTATATTATATAATATATAATAATTTAATATAATGTATATATATCATATATACATACATATATATAATAACCAATCACCACTATAACTATTATAATATATTATATATATATATATTCACTACTATCACACTAATCTCTAATACCTATACATCATATACCTGAATTCTACTCATATAATTCTCTAGAAACATAATATAATCCGCTTATAGTATAATCAACAAAGTAATTGCATATATATATAGTATACTATACACAATATAGCTTTTAATGATATACATAAAACTGCATATATATATAGCTAATAGCTATGCATAAGATAAACAGTGAAATAATACTAACATTTTTATAACAGGTATATATCCATGTTATTATAACTTGAGCTAGAAAATACACACACACACACCACTACACAACCGCGACTTACGACAACAAAAAATTATCACACCCCACACACACACGTACAGACACCAACCACACAACACACAACCAAAATAGGCAACAGCGCACAAACACATCAGGAATTTGATTATGACAACTGCAGAGCATCACACACACATTTAAATTATAAAACACAACATTAATAACTATATATATATATATATTATATATATAAATATAATATATACTGTATACCGTTTTGCCTGTGTGACTGTGAATTAAATGTTGTGGGATGTGTGTCTGTGGTATGGTGTGCGCTCTGTAGGATAGGGTAAATTCTTATTAACAATCTCCACCTTCCTTTTGACAGTCAGTACCCTTTCATATTTTACGTTTAGCCCGAATGAGTGAAATTAATCCAACAGCGTTCGGAGTAAAATAATACTACGTACTTTCACAAGAAATGTGGTATCGTTTCTCTCATGTATGTTCTCTATTTACAATTTAAACATGTTGTATTAGAATACACCGTTCGATTATTCCTTCTTATCAGTAGTTGGAGTTTCGCTGTCCTTTCCTATATGAGAAATTTGTTTAGGAAATATATACGTATCCAATTGTTTTGTGTATATATGTAGCGTAGCTGAGAGTTGGGCGCTGTTACAGGCGACTAATCGTTATCATGTTCGTTTTTTTTTTTTGTAGTTCTGTCCTAATAATTATGTTTAGCAAGATACAAAAAAAACTGGAAAGAGAGAGTAATGCCAAAATAAATAAACTGAAGTTCCCAAGTATTTACAATCATACAAGTAGTAATATGATCGATATATGAGTAAAACCTACACGCACACACACAAGTAAGTACACCACAACACTAACCGCACTGGCTGGTAGTACTGGGGGACCAGCCCAAAAAAATTAAAGGTTACATTGCCCTATAGACGAGGAAGTTTTCAGGACCACTCGAGAATGCAGGATATGAGACAAAAGACTAAAACACCGTGCTCGTACCGCACATAGCATCGCGCAGGGGTGAGGGTGAGAAAGGTTACGCTTAACTTTGCGTGATCCCTGATAATATGTCTTTGTCTTTGGCCTCAGGGTCGTTCGTTAGTAAACAAAAGGGAGAATTGTTACATATTTCTTTTAAAAAACTCAACGATAACTTTTGGTATTTTCAATTATATAATCTATGGTTATAGCACGCGCCACACTACAGGAATTACAAAATACCAATCGACATAACGAAATGAATAATTAGACCAAATCCATGGACATACCGAGAGCCCCATTAAAGATAAAATTAATAAAGTTTTACTCTTTAACTGATTAGGACTAATCATCCATTCAATCACATGAGAAGGACCAACACACGGCTTGAGTACAATCCCGCGCACAACATTTTTTCGACGTTCTGCATAAGCTACCCACATTATGTAAGTCCAATAGCTTTTGTAGAGTGTCGGTAAAATGCGATGCCAGACGCTGCCGCTAAAACCGCATCAGTCTTGGCCGATTAAGTATTGTTTTTCCATGATTTCACCATCAAATTAAACCAAAGACCGGACCCTTTGATCCGTCTGGATAATGAATTTCCTTTCCATACACAATACAACTTAAACTTAATTGATGGCCATCACACAACACACACCACACATAACTTTGTAAGCACCACACTAGACAACACACAGAACTTCTCAACCAAATACAGTCGCCAACACTAAGTTTTCCCACTGTCTAAGCAGAGAGTTTGTCTTCGCTAGGCATATTGAATTGGCATTACTTGCCACGTACACATTCCACACCATCTTACCAATCCACACACTATAAACAGCAGCACACACGAGCAATAATAAACAAAACGACAGCCACATCTCGAGTTCCAAGATCGGAGGCAAATCAACTCTAAAGATAAAATTTTCCTGACAAGGAGGTTCGGGGGGCATGATCCAGATCAGATACCGACACACAAACACAACATTGCCAAACACACACACACTATTTAATCTGCTGAGCGCCCACCTGCCGCCAGGATACCAGAAAGCTGTAAGGGAATCGGAGCGAGATTCAGTACGTGAATCCGAATTACTTTTTTCGGGATCACCAGTTTTGCTTGCTTACCCGTTTCCAGACACAATCCATGTACTTATAACATATTTTTAAAACAGTACTGCTAAGATGAGCAATGCGACTTAACGCCAAGGTTCATATTTCACAGTGTCGATTTTACTTTTTACATTATTTCGCTTCGTTCTAAGCACACACACAAGTGATACATGATAACACACACATCACACACCACACACACACCAGATTATAACACACAGTCACACAAGTGTCGCGTTGTCTGTAGAGTGACACACATCACATACAGTACTTCATAGATATTTATGTCTGTGTTGTGTGCGTGTGTGAAAAAAAAAAAAAAAACAAAAGGGATAGTTTGAAACACTGAGAAAAAAAAACTATATAAATTAAGACAAATTCCCAAACTTTCTTCTTACCTTCGTTACCGCTCTCATACCACGAGAATATTGACGAATATGCAAAACGGACTTGATTTCGAAGGAAAAAAAACTTAATTTACCAGGCGTAGTTTAAGCCTTGAGGGAGAATGGAAAATGCAAATATTCACTCAGTTCTCAGCTTTCCGGTGGGAATAATGCTGATAAAGATGGTGATGTGAAGAAGACGGAATAGGCGACGAAGATGACTACAAAATAAGAAATATCAGTGATGTACAAATAATTCGTAACACCTCAAGCACACCCTCAAGAACCTTACACACAGCTTCCAATAAAAACCTACATCCGTAAAAAAATCACTCAACCTCACGCACAGCTTCCCATACCTCACACCTTCTAAAAAACCTCACTAAGACTAAAACGCACAGCTTCCCATAAACTCACACTTCTAAAAACCTCACTACAGACTCAAACCTCACGCACAGCTTCCCATAAACCTCACACCTTCTAAAAAACCTCACTACAGACTCAAACCTCACGCACAGCTTCCCATAAACCTCACACTAAAAAAAAAACTCACACAGACTCAACCTCACGCACAGCTTCCCATAAACCTCACACTTTCTAAAAAAACTCACTACAGACTCAAACCTCACGCACAGCTTCCCATAAACCTCACACTTTCTAAAAAAAACTCACTACAGACTCAAACCTCACGCACAGCTTCCATAAAACCCTCACACTTTCTAAAAAAAAACTCACTAAGAGACTCAAACCTCACGCAACCAGCTTCCATAAACCTCACACTTTCTAAAAAAAAATCACTACAGACTCAAACCTCACGCCACAGCTTCCCATAAACCTCACACTTTCTAAAAAAAACTCACTACAGACTCAAACCTCACGCACAGCTTCCCATAAACCTCACACCTTCTAAAAAACCTCACTACAGACTCAAACCTCACGCACAGCTTCCCATAAACCTCACACTTTCTAAAAAACCTCACTAAGACTCAAACCTCACGCACAGCTTCCCATAACCTCACACTCTTCTAAAAAAAAAAACTCTCACTCAAACCACGCCAGCTTCCAAAACCTCACACTTCAAAAAACCTCACTACAGACTCAAACCTCACGCACAGCTTCCATAAACCTCACACCTTCTAAAAAAACTCCACTACAGACTCAAACCTTCACGCACAGCTTC